TTCTGGTAATATTTTTCCTCAAAAATGTATAGCTAGTAATATTATTTTAAAACATGTACTGCTGGTAATATTTTTTTTTCAAAAATATATTGCTGGTAATATTTTTTTTTCCTTCAAAAAGTTATTTCTGGTAATAATGTTTTTACAAAATATCTCTGGTATTAAAATCTATTTTTACTCAGTTTTGGTGTTAACTATTTGTCCATAGCTGGGACCCTAACAGGTGCTACCACCCCGGGTCAGGGTGGACCTAGGAACCTCAGCAATTAAGAGATAGTTCCATGCTCCTCAAAACCTTCCGACCAGAGGCCTTGCTGTTGGATGTAGTTTATCGTCATACCCAGGAAGGGGAAGCTTAATGTAGTCATGTACACTCTAAAGTAAGTAAGGAACGGGAATGTTTCGACTTTACATATATGTATATAACACACTATAACGTAAATGAGGGTAGAAAACACACAGGGTAATATTTTAATTATCCGAAAATGCATGCCTTTCAGCCTACGTGCATTATATATAATATTATCAATACCAAAATACGCTACCTAGAGTTTTATGCAATAATTATCAGGAGGAACTATAGAAGCACGCAATCGTTTAACTTAGGGATGGCAAGTAGCTTCTATCCCGGATGTGCGTTTTTAATCAAATATTTTTTTTCTTTTGCAGCTCTAAATTTGATTCTATTACCCTAAAGTCCAAAAGTCATATTCGCTGCAGGATTATTAATTATCCTTCAGACATAAATTACAGCCTTTACCGAATTTGTTGTAAGGTCTTAATTTGCCCAATATTTTTCATGTGATTGAAGGAACCTCCAGTTTCTTTTTAAATATTTTAAACATTTTAGCTTATTCTATGCTTTAGCTTTTTACTTAATATTTGTGTATAACCAAGATGTCCCAAAAAATTGACATAAATTGTCAGTCTAACAACATAGCCAATTCTCGATCAAATGACCACAGATATTAAAAAAATGCTTAAAATTTAACTAAATTGGCTGCGCGACCTTATCTCAATGAGAATCTACAATTAAGATGGAACGGGTGTTCAAGTAATATAGACAATATGCTGTTGAAATAGCCACGAATTCATCTGACTTAACGCCTTGTGATTTGTTTCTATGGTGCTATATGAATGGAAAAGTCTGTATTCCCATTCTTCGTACAAGCCTAGTTGAACTTAAGCAGAGAATCATTTAAGCGTTGGAGTTTTTACGCAAGACACGCTACAGCGTGTTTGGCAGGAGCTTGACAAACGGCTTGACGTGTGTCGTATCACAGCTACTGTGCATATTGTAGTTAGCAGATTAATAAGGTTAATTTGATTCATAATTGGTCGACTTCAGATTTTTGTGATTCTCATGAGCCTTTTTCTACACTGACGGCAACGCCAAGCAGCGACAGTTTTTCATGCTTGAACGCTATTTTCAGGCCAAGACAAAATTTTCGTAATTAATTCTATTGCAATGACCTGAGCTATAGAAGTAAATCAGGATGTAATAACTGGAGCTAATCCTCGAAGAAGCTGGGCTACCAACACTGACAACTTTCGGGTAAGTCCTGCAGACAAACCGGCACCAAATATAATGCCCTGTATTCCTTCGGATCTTGTCAGTGCGCCCCAGAGGTGGTGGTTATGTAGTCTGGGCATCACCTGGCCTACATATACCATCACACAGGTCTGCGCCCTGGAGAGGTCACTCCAGTTTCACCAATGAATTTTGTTCAAACTGAGCGCGGACTTTATCTCGCAAGATAAACGGATACAAACTGAATTGGCCTGAAGATTGCGTTCAACCATGAAGCACCGTTGCCGCTTGGTTTTGACCTCAGTGTCCACTTTTATATCCGCACATGCTCTATCTCTGATAACGAGCATGTTACCCACGAATATAGCATACCTTAAAAATGTTTTTTTTTTTAATCGTGATTTTGTGTGTGTGTATATATGAAAATCGGATGTTGTATTGAAGTTTTCTGCTCGAACAACTTCGCAAAATTTGGTATGAGATAAAATAAATTATACATGTTTAAATTTAAAGATAAGTTAAATCAAGTTATATATATATATATATATATATATATATATATATATATATATATATATATATATATAACTAGACTCGTTTTTCGAAAAACCCTCGAATTTTTTATTTGCTAATCAAATCAATCTCGAGGGCAAAAAAGGTTTTAAAAAAAGAAGGTCTAAAAACATGAACTTCTGTCGACAAAAAATCGCACAGATGCAGGTCTGAAGCCCAAAGAAAAAACCTCGATACGAGTAAACAACTAACAAAAGAGCTCAATACAACCGTAGAGCAGACCTAGATAAACCTAGTGAGCCAGACAAACCTACCTAGTTTTCACCTAAACGGATCGCCAGGGAAACTTTCCCTGACGATCCGTTTAGGTGAAACCTAGGTAGGTTTGTCTGGCTCACAAGGGTGTATCTATCTATCTATCTATCTATCTATCTATATATATATATATATATATATATATATATATATATATATATCAATATGAAGACATATTGAATTGTAAATAGAAAATATGACTATAATCTTTACGAAAATTTTACCAGTGATCATTTTTCCTCTTGTATATTCTATATAATATATATATATATATATATGTATATATTAAACTGCCACAGTAAAGCAGAAAGAAAGAAGATGAAACTGCAAGTGAAAACACGGAGAAATAAATCAGAATTATATGTGATTGTACTTAATAATAGAAAGAAGTTAGGAAAAACGAATTTGCCATTAACATTTTGCAGATCAGAGTTGTATTGACATTAAAAAAAAAATAAATGGGAAAAAAAACTTTCGATATTATTCCGGTAGTTTGCAGAGGTGAGTTTCAACATCGCCTAAGGAAAGTAAACAGATTTTTGGAAAAAAAAAATTACCAGAAATTAAACATGGTTGAAAAAGACTGATGTAATATTTGTGGATTCTATAAAAAATATTTTATAACATTTCTGTCAAAATTATTTTACCGCATAGATCTTTGTTCAAATGAAGAAAAGGTGATTCATATACTGTAGCGAATAATGAACAATATTCCTTTATTATTATCATTATTGGTATTATTATTACTATACGATGTCGGTCATTGACGTAGCCAATGGAAATCTTAGTCGTCAGGCCTGAGGTTCAACAAGACTTGTGGCCACAAAAACATTTATTCAAATATTTCATCAAGATTTACGTAGATACAGTCAACATATCGTGGGGACGTAGAAGATATAGCAGGTGTCATTTTAGCACCAATTAAGAAGAAATAAATGGTATAAATCAGGAGCCGATGCTGTTACAAAAAAGTGTATAAAACTGACTAAGTCCGGACCCAAACATCAGACGCACAGATGTCATCAAGTTCCACGTTACTCTAGCTGCTTATCTTCAAGACCCAATTCAAGTCCACACGCAAAAAGCTACCGGACTGACAAAATACAAAGAGACCGCTCCAAACTACTGAAACACAGTTCACAGTAAGAACTAAATTCTATCTCTTGTATCCCCATTTACAACTAAGCACGCACATACGTACTGACTGTTTCACATAAACACACACAAAATTTCAGTTTCTCAAATACGTACACTCATACAAATTATATTCTATTCCATATGTTTATTAACCAAAACAAAATGACATTACTTTAAAATTTATAACCAGCTTCTTGTATTCTTGTCGTTAAATTAATGTTTATTTGCTGATACTACGTAGTAACTTTCTACTGCATTTTATTCTTTCAATGAAAACCGTGGGATTATTCTAAACGGCCGAATTACGAGCTGTCCCATAACGATATTTTATGTTATTGTATCGAACACATACACTGCGAATTTTGACATTTAACAAAAAACCCGAGTAGAAGAATTCTTACATACTACTCAAAATTCACTAACTTCCCAGTAGAATCCTTGCAGAATAAAGCATGACAGTTTTGGTGGCCTATAATCTTGATCTAAATCCTAATTTTCCATAAGTGATATTTCAAATTTCTAGGTATTTTTCTCTGGACACCAATTACGACAGGACTTGCATAAACACTCATCTCCAATAGCCTCTTCGACACCTTAGCCAGTTCCTGGTATTTATTCAATATTTACATCGTCCTAGATACAATGAACTACACCCATCAACAAAACCCCTGATCAGGAGGCTTTGGCGTGCGTGGAACAACCTCTCGATTTGGTTCCCAGTTCAACCCGACCCGGGGTGTTAGCACCTGTTAGAGTCTGAGCTTTAGGTAAATAGTGAAACACCAAACTGTGGTAAAAAAACTCAATGTATAGATAAAAAATTTAAAGAAATTATCAGCGACAGATTTTTGTAAAAAAAATAAACATACCATAGAATTTTTAAAGGAAAAAAAAACTCATGCTCACAAGAAAACTAAATTTCGACATTAAATGACCCATATAAGGAGTTGATATGCCTTTAAACAATATATTTCCATTATCATTGGAATCCATTCTTGCATCATGTGGGGCAGTAAACCATCAATATTTTGATAATTACTAATTTCTTATCTATCTCAAAAGCGTCAGATTTCCCGAGCTTAAATAATATTATCTGTCTAGAGAGAGAAGTCCTTCACTTTCTGGGTCTATTTCCAACATTGCTTCTGGTTTATATTTATACCATTTCTTTAATATTGTAGCCAAATTTATGTCATTTTTCCCAATAAATTATCTTACGAAGACAAACAAGACATTGTTTATATGCTCCCTGTGAAACGTTTCATCAGGTTACCAACAATTCCTGCTTTTGCATTTTCTTGCGTTTTTCTTCCGACCTGGATTCCTTGACAGTCTTTCTAACGGTCTTCTATAATGCAAAGGTAACTGATTGTTACTCTAAAAAACGATTTTTTTTTACTTTCCCTGTTGAGGCCAACGTACTGATGAGTTGGCGAGTGAGAGAACTATGCATGTAACGTTTCGACTGGAATTTGAAACCGGCTCTCCGTTTTCTCTATTCAAG